TTCAGGATTAAGAGTCGAGAACGGTACAACGAATCGTCTTCTTTCTCTAACAATTTAATGAAACGTTAGAGCTTCTGCGCTTCGCGCGGAGGGGGGAAACTCCCCCCTCCCCTGCACCACCCCCCTCCCCCCCGGGAGCGCGCTCCGCACGCTCTTTAAGTGATTCGCACACTACACGTGCTCATTGCCGCCCCCCCTAAAATAAAATCTATCTAGCTACGTGCCTGCTATCTAATATGCCGAACCGTACTTCGCCTACTCCACTAACAAATCTAGGGAGTCGCCTACGCCTACTCCCTAACCCTAATCTTAACCATATATCAAATAGTGGCCAGGGTACGTTCCGGTATACCGGACCGTACCCAGGGTACGTTCCGGCAGTACCCTGGGGGACATAGACCCTATGAGCCTCAGGCTGAGTTACCTGGTCACCGGTTTAACTCCACTGGAGGACAATTTCACCTCCTGCTCAACTACCATTCCTATACAATGGGTGGTAATAATCTCACACACGCCTACTCAAGATACTTCAATGACCCACCACTGTATATATGAACCATTAAAGCGATACAAGATTATTCAGCTGGAATGTCATATATAACAGCAATTTTTGGCAATGGGGCATATACACAAAGCAAGGTAGAAGCGCTTGTGCCAGGATGTACGTACGACACAACAGCTCTAGATGATGAAGGAGATTCATCAATGCTTGGTTCTCTTCAGGGGCGTAAATCCCGGGGGGATGGGGGGATGCATCCCTCCGCTCTTGAAGGAGGGGGGGAATGGCCTGTACAAATATCCCCCTCTGAGATTCAAAAAAAAAGAGAGAAAAAAAAGAATAGCCAAAAAGTATGGTTGCAAACATACAAAAACACGTGAAATTGTGAGAAATTGCAATTCTTACATGTGTTTTAACACATGTATTATTACTATATAGTAATATAACTGTGTACGCTCTCTGAAAAGTCATGAAAAGTGTTTTGAATCCTAACTTGTAGGGTTGAGTCTAGGGTTGAGATAGTGTCATCAGACATGAGAATATGGCCCACAGTATGCCTCAGATTGCAGGAAAATGGCTTAAATATTTCAAAATTTTCTGGAGGGGCATGCACCCAGACCCCCCTAGCACTGGCATGCCTGTACCGGCGTATTTGGACGCTCGCCCGAAACTGGACGCTTTTAAGTGCGCATGCGCGCATGCGCCTCTTGTTTTGCAAGGGCGCACACAGCGCATGCGCAATATGCGCAGTATTTGGACGCTCGCCCGAAACTGGACGCTCATAAACTCTACTCCTGATAATGTTAATAATAATGTTAATAATAATGTGAGGAGGATGAGGAGGAGGAGGAGGGGAGGAGGAAGAGGAAAAGGTGTTTGAGTAGGGAGGAGGAGGAGGAGGAGGAGAAGGTGATTGGAGTACTGGAGGATGAGGGGAAAGAGGAAGGAGAGAGGTGTTGGAGAGCGGGATAAGGGCGAGGAGGAGGAGAAGGAGGAGGGAGGAGGATGTAGGGGCAGGAGAGGCAGGAGGAGGAGGAGGTGGAAGTTGGT